TGGCACAAAAAAAGGTGGTCGTATCGGGCTCACTTCATAACTGCCCTTGGTTCGCAAAGGAAATTCTGCTCCCGATTTGGGATGGTAAGCAAATCAGCTCCTAACTGTTTATCACCTAGTGGTCTCCCTTCCAAGGATGCATGGAGTCTGAACTTGCTTAGGCTTCTCAAGGGAAACAGCCAAGGTCTTGTGGCTGCTGCGAGGTGCCTCAGCTCACCTCTCCCCTCCTGCTTTCTGAAGCAAAACGCGCTTCAACTGAAGGCTTATTAAATCTTCTAAAAATAAATGCGACTGTTAGATTAGAAACCGCCACCTGTAATAACAGCCAGCGCGCCTTAAGTCACACCTCCCTCACATCGTGGCTTGCGAGAATAGAACCGCCGCACGCTTGAGAGCGTCCATCACGATGCAGCGAGCCACAGATGGTCCGAATATTGCTCCAGAACGGAGGCAATTTCGTAGGTGGGACGCATCTTTTGAACCATCAACCCGAATCAGCCCTTGACAAAGGTTTTGAAAGTATGTTTCCCCCCTCACGTAGATTTTAAGCCAGAACTATTTTGGTTAGGTGGAACTGTAGGCAATTAGGAGAAGAAATGTGTATATTTAATGTTACCTGTCTTAACTGCAGCGAGAGTTGTATTTGCTCAACATTGGAAAGATGAAGAAGTACCAGTGGAGGAAGAGATAATTAAGAAAATTTTAGATTGTGCAGAAATGGACAGACTGATGCTGAAAACGAAAGAGAAAGACTAGAAGACTTCTATTCTATTCTATTCTATTCTATTCTATTCTATTCTATTCTATTCTATTCTATTCTATTCTATTCTATTCTATTCTATTCTATTCTGTTCTATTCTATTCCAAAGCACCTGAAGGCAGGACAAGAAGCAACGGATGGAAACTAACCAAGGAGAGAAGCAACTAGAACTAAGGAGAAACTTCCTAACAGTGAGGACAATTAACCAGTGGAACAACCTGTCTCCAGAAGTGGTGAATGCTCCAACACTGGAAGTCTTTAAGAAGAGAACGGACAGCCATTTGTCTGAAATGGTATAGGGTTTCCTGCCTGAGCAGGGGGTTGGACTAGATGACCTCCAAGGTCCCTTCCAACTTTATTATTATTATTATTATTGAGGATCATCGCACAGTCAGCCAGATGTTCAGACTGGATTTGGCATTTTGTCTACCTATCGAGTCCTTCCCAAGGACCTGGGATAGGCAGATGTGGATGTTTGATGGTATTACAGATATCGTCGCAGAATGGAAGCAGTTCCTAGTAAGGCCGCCTTTTGCAATTGACTAATGGTGAATTTGTCAATGCCAATGATGGTGTTCAAGGGGTGCTCCAGTTGTTTTGGGATTGCACCTAAGGCGCCTATTACTATTGGTACTACCCTTGCTTGCTTTTGCCACAGTCTTTCTATTTCTATTTGTAGGTCTTTGTATTTTGTGATCTTATTATTATTATTGTTGTTGTTGTTGTTGTTGTTGTTGTTATTATTATTATTATTATTATTATTATTATTATTATTATTATTACACGTTCTTGGTGCCCTCTGAACTTGATTGTTTTCTTGCAGACGTTTCATGGCCCAACTAGGTAACATCATCAAGGCTGGGAGGGAGCATGGGCGTTGCTCTCTGTTTATATTTACATGCCATTCATTTATACACCATTCAAAAGAGACCATCAAAAAGCTACACAGGAAACAAAAACACCAAAACACCTCCTTGCCACCAACCAACACCCCAGTAAGCAGAGTTTAACACTTAGATTAACACTTAGACCAACAATCAAACAGTAAACAACACCCCAATCAAGGAACTACCGATTCAGATAAACAATCAAGACACTAATCAAGGAACTGCCAGAAACATTCCCACCAACACTGACAGAACAAGCTAGTATATATAAACAGAGAACAAACCCCCCTCTCTTCTGTCACTGATGATGTTACCTAGCTGGGCCGTGAAACGTCTGCAAGGAAACAAGGAAACTCAGAGAGAGCACCAAGGACCCCTCTCAAAGGTGGCAAAGATTGCATTCATGACCATCCCTTGAGTTTTTTCACCCCCCCTTCCCAGTTGACAAGCTGATGTGGGGGTGTCAAAACCAACCTAGCCCTCTCACATCAGAAAGAGCAATGAATCGTGCCAGCATTTAAGCTGGAAGCACATTTTTTCCTTTTCTTTGTACTTAAAACGCTGTACCAAATAAATCAGAATATTTCCCCCCCCCCTTCACCTGCATCCATCAAGCACCTTTGATGGTTTCCACCTCTTTCAATGTATTGATTCATAAGGCCGCCTTTTGCCTGAGTTTCTCCCTCTCCAGCCAGCCACCCCCCCAATCCATAATATTTTAGCTTAAAAAAAAAACAAAAAACTAGAGATGTAATTTTTCTCCCCCCTGGCTGCAAGATCAGCAGAGAGCCATTTATAATTTCCCTTCTGGATATTATTTAAAGGAGTCAAATGGCCTCTTGTTTTTTTTTATATATCATTTGGGGAGGGGGGAGGACCGGAAGGGCATGTAGAAACCTGGCTTGACAGGTTCCCCCCCCCCGTTATGACCCCTTCTGGCACCCCCAAGCATGTTCTGGCCCTCCCCCCCCCAATTTTTTTTTAACATTGCTGCCACATGAAACGGAATGCAAAGATTTGACATGTCCCAAAGCTGCTTTTCCAAAAGGCAACTGGACTGTCTTGATTGGTTATTTTTTTTCCCCCCCTCAAGAAGCTTTTTCAG